CAAAAAAAAAAAAAACAGGGGGGGGGGGGGGGGGGGAACATAGTATTAAAATTCCAAAAGAAAAAAAGAATATGTTCCTTGTTATGCTTGCATATGGACCATCTATAAATATAACACTTTTTGCACATTAGCTAAAGAATAATCACGAATTATGATTAAATGGCAACGAACAAGTACTTTTTATTTTAACGACAATATTATAGGACCGCTGACATTATTTCTTCCTATAATTTCTATTTCCATGTAGCAATTATTCTTCCATGAAGTATTTAGTACGGTAACATAATTAATATTGTTATTTGTTATCATCAACAAACACTCAACTAAAAGTGTCCTTTTTTCTGTTTAGCATTTAGGGGCATTAAAGTAACTCGTATGTATATATTGATATTGTACGTAGCGGGTATTCTTTAAAATAAGAAACAAAATTAATTGAGGTGCGTGAAAGCTGAACACGGTCATAAAATAGTGAAAATTTACCCAAGAAGAAGAAGAGAGGCTATATATATAAACAAAAATTGCAAAGACTAATGACAAAAAAGAAGGGAAAAGAAGACAAAAAGTTTTGATTTTACAGATTTTAGAAAAAAAGTGGATGAGATATATAAAGAAAAGAACAAGATTCTTGAAGCTCAACGAAATAGGTGTGAAGTCAAATTGGTCATTTATATATGATTAAAATTATAATATATATATAAAAATGTTGAATCTCTTTATTTTTTTTTGTATATTTACGTATGTATTATTCATCTTTTGAATCTCCTAAATCTCACATGTTTATTATTCATATTAAAATTATGAACCTAGTCCCTAGTGACTGCACATAAAGTTTTATGCAATTATGTTGACTTATTATCATTTACTTGTAATTTAATTTAGTACGGACATACGTAGAAATATGTTAGTTTTAAGATTTTATAACTTTTATCTTTAATTAATTAATGTCCATAGTAACATATATTCTTTTGTATATATGCATGTTACGCATCACCCCTTACTAAAAAATTGTTTTCGACATTGCTCGTCCCAAGCATTGATTAGTAAACTTGAGAGCTTTACTTACATAGCTTAAGAGTGATAGTAATGAAATTGCGATCAGATACCAATGAGGATAGATATTTATTTAAAATTTAACTCTAGATCGAAAATGTTTCACTCTCATGATAATTCGCATTTGCATGTTATTTTCGTTGCGTGAGAATCTTAAATTCATCAAAAACGGTTTTACTTTCGAGTTATAGAATTAATGTCACTTGTAATAACTAGATGTGAATATAGTTTTTTGGCAAAATGAGATCACATGAATTCATAACTTTTGTCATGGCAAATATAGTCTTTCAGCTACGAGTTTATCTAAATTCATAACTTCCAACATGCAGTATAATATATATGTAAAAACCTACTAACATATTGAACATAAATATACGGTTCATTATAAATAAATAAAAACTCGATAATTATAAGTAGAGCTAAATAATCATCAACAAAAAAAGGGAGAAAAAACAACTATATTTTTTTAATTGGAATAAGCCACACTAGCAACCAATAAATATATATTGAACATAAATATAAGGTCCAATATAAATAAATAAAAACTCAATAATCACACATATATATATATACACACGTTATCTAGGAGGGTTATTTTATAAATAGAAAATGGAAGAAGTTTGAACTTCATCCCACATAAAATTTGCAAAACATACCAATTGATAAGTTATAGGAATATAATTATTTTAGAAAAAACAATATTTACAAAATACTTATTTGGAAAAGCTGCAATATTGAGAATATATCCAGAAAAATAATAATATAAAAAATTGCAATATGTCATATATGGTTCATATACTATTTTGGCATATTATTTAGTAAAACACACACAAAATTTCATTTTTAGAAAATCATTGAAGCTATTAGGCTTTATTAGGTAATTAATATTAATTATATTACAAGAGTAGTTAATAATATTGAAAAATATATTAGTGCATATAAATGAACTCTAATATTTGCCCAAACACAACATAAATTTCCCAAAATACCCTTTCATTTATCTTCCATTATGTCATAGATTTTATAAAATTATCTTTACATATTTTTTTACCAAATATCTTGAATCAATTTTAAATTCTTTCAAGTTTTGACCAGATACAAAACTTTAATATTTTTACCATATATAAATATTTTTAAATATTTGTTTGACCAAATATCTTGAATCAATTTTATCTTTAATTTTTTTCAAATTTAAATCAGGCATAAAATTTTAATTTTTTTGACCAAATATAAATATCTTTACATACTTATTTGACCAGATATTTTAAAAGTCTATCTTTAATTTTTTTTTCCAATTTTGACCAGATACAAAAAAATTATACAAAATACATGTTCAAGACATAGTTTTAAAAACTCAAATTTCAAACGTGAGTGTAATCCTATTGTCAAGCCAACTCGGACTCAGGTGAAAAGTGTGTAGTATGGTAAATTCACACCTCTTTTAAGATAACGTGGAATTTTCCTCCAATGAGTAAAAGCACGAAGCACGATCGTCAAATAAACACACACACACACAGAGTGAATTTTGTGTATATATATAACACAATACGCACGTCAATGTTTCTCTTTCACCTCACTCTCTCTCTAAAATCTTTCAGTCTCTGCAAATTAAACCCTCTTTCGCTCTCTCTAATGGCTACTATATATCAATCACTCCGTCACTTCAATTTCTCTCTCTAGAATTCTTCATCTCTCTAGGGTTTCAACTTTCACTTTCCCTTCTTTCGCTATCTCTAACGAGAATTTTCCCTGTTGAACCAAAAAAAACTTTTCCTTTTCGTTCCTTTTTTATTTCGGGCGGTATATAAGTTTTTTTTTGGTGTGTGTGTGTTAGAGTTAGGTGAACTCCGATATGGCGTCGTCCGCCGCGGCTTCAGGGAATGTTTGCTTCAACAGCAACTGCAAGGAATTTGTTGAAAAGACAAGGAAAGGTTGGCGTCGTCGCACCGGCGAGTTCGCTGAGCTATGTGATCGTTGCGGGTAAACTTTTTTTTTTTCGCTCTATTCAAGTTTTGAATTTTTGATTTTTGTTTTGTTCGACTCTTTCTAAAAGGCAAATCATTAATGAATTTGTGAATGGAGATGAATGGTTATAGAGACTTCATATAACTGACTGGAATTGAGACCTGATTAGTTGTTTGTGAATGTGAAGGATAAAAAGTTTATATCTTTGGTTTTTAAGTATTGTAATTTATTACAAAGATTTATTATTTCTTGAGGTTTTTATTTGGTACTTTTGACCAATTTTTTCTCCTGGTTATCGAGAATGTTGAGTGAGCCTGTGTGAGGTATTTTATCGTAACACTTAGTTTAGCTTATGTTACTTGTACTGCACTGCTTTAGGTTTACGGACATTCTACTTCTGTTTGGGTTAATTGACCTAGGATATGTGTAACAATATCAGGATTTTTTCCTTTTATTACATATAAACAGTTTAGATGGAATGTATCTACTGAAAAGGTGATATTTTTATATAGAATACCCCCATTATAAGTTGATTGATGCATTTTACACTCCAACAATCTATTTTTGACCTATTTTTAACAAGTTAGTGAATTATTGAGTAATTGAATGAACATGCTTAAATGGAGATGAATGGTTATAGAGAGTTCATATAATTGACCCCAACTGGTTTGGAATTGAGGCTGAGTAGTATTTGACTATTTCTTATAGTATATGTGAAGAGTAAAAAATTATACCTTTGGTTTTTTTAATTACCAAGATTTAATTTTTCTTGGGGTTTCTATTTGGAACCTTCTACCATTTTTTTCCATGGTTATCGAGAATGTAGAGTGAGTCTGTAAGTTATGCTTTAAGTATTTTGTCGTAACGTTTAATTTAGCTAATGTTACTTGGGCTGCAGGTCTATGGTATCTTTATTATGTTTCATGTTATACAATTATGAGGATGCTGATGTATGAATATGACATTCTGCTTCTGTTTTGGTTGATGATGATCATTGTCATTTTCATCATTTATTTTTATGTTTTTTCTCCTGGCAAAATAGTGAACAAGAATTTTTGAAAATATGCGCAAGGATATATTGGAGTAAGTAGCAAACTAGAGATACAGAGACATTGAAAATTTTAAATTTAAGGGATAGAACACATGTATCTAGATAATATTTTCAATGTTTTCTTTACCTTTTCCGAAATATTTAGTTCTTTTGAGCCTATTTCCATTGACCCAAAATTTGGCGGTTACTAGAGCAATAGCAAGTTTCTTGGATAGTTTGACCTATGTTGCTTGAGTTCGGGTATGGATACAATCATACAAGTGTCAAGATACAGACAATAAGTGTAAATTATGACAAATGTAAGTATTTTTGACAATTTATTGAAGTTATTAAGCTAAATCTAGTATAATTAAATTATTTATAAAACGTGATATTTCATTCAACCAATTTGTTCTAGTACTTAAAAAAAGAAGACAAACCCATAATCAAACCAAATACCCAATCAATCTATACTTTTGGTTATGGGTGTAGTCAAAGCACCCAAGTTTGGCTGACCAAATTCACTGTGGATCCCACCCACACCCAAATCGTGTTGGATCGATATGAATGGGACAAGGGTTTTGAAAGGTTTGAGCAACATAAGTTATGGCCAAAGGAACAAAACATCATAAAAATCAAGAAGACTTGGATGTAATCACCAAACAACTCATGCACAAAAGGAATATTTTAGTATTTGTCTGGATTCATTTAACTTAGAGGAGTTGGAGAATACTTAATAAGTTCTCTAGGAAATCATATTATTATGTATTTAGTAGTACTCGACCTAGCTGGTAAGTGTTGAAGAAAACTCAACTGTTGAGAACCTGGCTGAATATCCTAATTGATTAATTTATGATGGAATTAGATCTTTTGATCAACGAAATCTATTGTACATTACCTTATGCAAGCGATAGTTCATTGAATATCTCGATATTTGATAGCTTTGATTGGAGCTGATGTATATTAATATTTCATGCAGTTCTGCTTATGACGATGGCAAATTTTGTGACGCTTTTCACCTCAACTCTTCTGGATGGAGATCTTGTGAGTCTTGCGGAAAGGTGAGGAGCACATTTTCTTTTTCCTTGTTGCTGGTGTGAAGTTCCAATGTTGTTGGGACTTTTTTAACCTTTATATTAGACATGGTCATGCTACACTTTGTAGTTCATACTTCTCCTGTTACAATAATTTCTCTGAATCTTGATAGGATTTGTTCTCTTCATGCAGCAAATCCACTGTGGATGCATTGTCTCTTTCCATACATTCGTTCTGTTGGATGCTGGAGGTATTGAGTGCATAGCCTGTGCTAGGAAAAGCTTTATTTTGGTAAGAAAGGATCCTTTCGTCCTTTGATCTTGTGGATGTGATGTTAGTTTTTTTTTTTTTGAATAATATTTATATTAAATTTTATCAAGATGTGGCAACTTTTGGAGGTACGGTACAACAAACCCCTAGTTCGTCCCATTCAGCAAAACAGTGTTGGACCGTCTTGGCTGCGCTGTGTGTGGATTTAAAACTCGGCTAAATCAATCTAGAGGAAGTGCTATCTTCCGACAGTAGCAAGCACAAATCGTAAAAAGGAAAAACTATGACCCTGCTCGCCTTCATCTGGTCTTATCTCAAAATTTTTTGATAAAAAAGAAATTTTCATAGATCAAATCTTAACTTAAAACCGAAGTTAGGATTTCTACCAACCTACAATAAAATTTAAACCACATTCGTGAAGCAGCGTTTACATCTTGAACCTTAACTTAAACCAAGGCTAGTATTTTTCATTTGTTAGGGTAAGTCCATTTGAAATCCCTATCTTATAGCACAACAATCCATCTTCAACTAGCACAAAACTTGACCCATCTCTGTTCTTGATTACCATTTAACTGTTGACTGTTATGTCAATGGTAAATTTGCATAAATCATCAGTTTGTATAATGAACCTCATCCACTGTAATCTCCGAACATTCTTCTTGTCCAGCCTAGTCGAGGCTGTGCTAAAGAACCATTGATCCAGCATTAAGAATAGCTTCTCCCATGCGATGACTATCTTTCATATGCATTCTTCATTTTTTAGATTTAATTCCATAGTTTTACAGCCAAATCAACAGTTGCATCTGTTGTTCTGTACAGAGATTGAATCTTCCAGCCAAACAAGTTTTGAGGGACTTCAATCTAATATTGATTCCACGTTTGACAACCTTTTGAAGAAAGTGATGCAATTTAAAAATCTCTTATCCAGACATAGGAAGTAAGCCTATGATACTGTCGAAATCATGAAAATTTTCAGTTTTTACTTTTTTATATTTATCTGAGTAAACCTCAAAAAAAAATTTAGCAGATAAACCTTTTCACAATTTTGATAGTATCGTTAGTTTAATTTCTGTCTCTGCTTAAGAGTTTTTTAACTGCATCACATTTTATCATTGAATAAAATTGTTTTTTGAATTTTGACTTCATATTCATATTTTGATCAGACACCAAATCCTGCCTGGCCACCACCTTCACTTTTCCTTCCTCTGCAGCCTGAAAGAATTAAAGACGTCAACAATTGGAATCCAATAGCTGGTTCTGGTCCTGTTCCATGGCGTCAAGCACCAAGTTTATTTAATGCTTCCACCAATCAAAATGAGTTGCAGCACAAGGCACCCTTTCCTGAAACCACAGTTAGCATCGACAGACTTAGTCTTAGTGAGAGACCATTTGCCTTGTTGTCTGACAACAACAGGAAGGACTCCGGTGAAAAATTGATGAATGGAAAGCTGAAGATTGGTGTACCAGGAACACTTGAAAACGGATATGCTGGTACTGATATTTACTTACCACATATAAAGAATTTTTCTACTGGAAATATTCTTGATTTAATCATATCTTAGATGTTCTACTACAGTTGATAATTACAGGTTTAGGCTGTTCTTAATATGGAGTAACCATTGTCTTACAGGTTTCAATCGTGAGGAGGCACATAAATCTTGTACAAGTGCTCCATGGCAATCATCTTATGCAAACAGTGATCTTTCTGCACCCAGCTTTTGTTTGACAGTAGGTTCTACTTGCAAAAATGAACCAACTGTTCACAGTAAGGTCTCTGTTAGTGTGCAACAACAAAATACACTTTCGATTCCTTTGCCTTTGGGGAAGCAGCTTGGTGGTCATGCTACAGTGGATTCTGCTGGAGAGACGCAAGTGAGGAGTTCGAAGATCCGTGGAGATGGGAGAGGGAAAAATCAATTACTACCTCGTTACTGGCCTCGCATAACGGATCAAGAGCTACGACGTTTATCTGAAGAGTATCCTTTGTTTTATAAGGACCTATTGAAATAATGGATATGTCAATAAATTCCTGTGGTTATATTATGCTTGGGTTTTACGAAGTAAAATTTGTTTGCATCTGAGGTGCTTCTTTGCTAAAATTACAAAGACATGTTTTATTTGCAATGTGGCTTGGTGCAACTCAGCTAATTGTTTACAACCTTGACAGTGTTCAAGTTCAAATTCTGTGATAACTCCTTTGTTTGAAAAGATGCTAAGTGCTAGTGATGCTGGCAGGATAGGACGGCTAGTATTGCCAAAGAAATGTGCTGAGGTGAGCTCCTTTGCTAATATACATTTTTCTTTTCAGATCTCTAATGCCTTTAGGATAGTACAAATTCAAGAAAAAATTTGGTTCTTTGAAATGGTAGAACATTATTTACTTCAGAGGATTTGGACATTTAAGAATTTTTTTGTATTAAATAGGGGTTAAAAATTACAAGTGTTTTATCAAATGACGTAGGACCCATTTGGAAAATCATTGCTGAATTTGAAGCATTGAGTATTTGAAGTTGAAACAGAAAAAAGGTATTTGGCAGTTTAAATTGTATTTTTGGACATGGATTTCACTAGGGAAAAAGTAAGTTTTGGTAGCGAAAAACAATTATTTCGCTTGAAATACATGGACCAGTTTTTCAACTTCAAATTCTTTATTTTAAGTTTAAGTTGAAATAATCAACAAAACTGTAAAACAAACATTTATTTACTATATTTTTTTGATAACCGAGAAATCCGTCTGTGACCCGCCCTTTAGACCAATCACAACTTTCTAAACTCGGTAGATAATGGGCCCTCCCCTCTACCCTTCTCCACTTAAATACCGGGCTTCGCTTTGCATGGTGTGGGGCTTGAACCTGCAACCTAAGCCACAAATCCTCCACCTTTTGCCACTCGAGCTAGGCCTTGGGGGCAAAAATATAAAAACAAACACTCAAACCAGTGAGCCATTCAATCATTTGTTTTATTTACAAATATTATTCAAATAATATATATGTCCAAATGCCTTAATGTTGCTTTCCTTTCGTAAGAAGGGTGTGATAGTGAATACATCTAGTTAACTTGTGTGTCTCTATAACCTAGAAAGGGGAGTTGGAGGAAAGGGGGGGGGGGGGGAGGCCTTAATGTTGCTTTCCTTTCGTAAGAAGGGTGTGATAGTGAATACATCTAGTTAACTTGTGTGTCTCTATAACCTAGAAAGGGGAGTTGGAGGAAAGGGGGGGGGGGGAGAGGAAGGAAGAGTTGAAAAGCGAGCTACCTTCTTTGGCATTAGCTCAAGAAATTAGTTGGAGATAAAAATCGTGGGTGTTGTTGGCCAGCATAGCCCTTCATGCTGAGGAATACAAGTTACCGGTTTCAAAAAAATAAAAATCATGGTTGTTATGGTTGGAAAAGGAGGACCTGAGTACAACTTCTTTTCACAGGGTAGTCATGACAAATAGAAAAATATATCACATTGATTAGGTAAAGGTAAATGGGGTAGTGCATGAAGGGAGGAAGAGCTGAAGGAGAATCTTTCAATGGGATTTTCTATGGAATGCCTTAAGTGGAGAAAGTAGAGAAGGATAGCAACACAATAGCTCTAAGCCTCTAACTTAAGCAAGCTGGGGAGAAAAAGTCTCACTCGATAAATTGGGACTTTAATGATCCCAATGTGCTGGGATGGGCTTGGATTTAAAGATTTTTAACTAGGCACAGTCAAAGAAGTATTATGTGGCTGGGCCTTCAGAAGACGGAAGTTAAGACGCAGACCATGGGATGTTACTCCACCTAGCACTTGTATGGAGAGAAATCAAAACATGAGAGCCTTTTATCTATACAGGAAGATTTTATACACTTGAGGGATAACATCTTATTCTTAATTTCTTTTGGTGTACCCATGAGGTCCCAGAAGGAATAGGAGCTAGGGTATTGTTTGTAGAGAACCAATATCTTTTTGTAAGGTTTCTACTTCTCGGTGTACTTGTAAGCAGGTGTTTTTCCTTATCCTTGCTTATAAAATCTTATTTCTTGATAAATTAAAATAAAACCCAGGAAGGGCTCCTGGGAACATGCCTTTGAAATAAGAGATACTTTTATCCACTTTGGGCTAGCGGTGGTATAAGATGTATATGTGATTTATAAATCTAATAAAGTTCATTATTGTTGGTGAGGGTACCTAGCTTTTGATATTCTCTCTTAATACCAATTCTCTGTTGGAGTTCTCGTGTCTCTGTTCATAAACTGGTCGAGTTAACAATTCACTAATCAAATTCGTTGGAGGATTATCTCATCATTGGATAATCTATGCTTATTTGCTCTCCTTTTAATTGAAAGGTACTTCATATGTTTTTTTTTTATATTCTAATGAAGTTTTACTGTGATGAAGGCCTATTTCCCACCAATTTCTAATCCAGAAGGGTTGCCTCTCAAGATGCAAGATCTGAAAGGGAAGGAATGGATGTTCCAGTTCAGGTTTTGGCCTAATAATAACAGTCGTATGTATGTGTTGGAAGGGGTGACTCCATGCATACAGTCTATGCAATTGCAAGCAGGTGACATAGGTAATTTCATCTGTTCCCTAGCTAGTTCTTTTTCCAGCTTATATTCCTTAATGGATCTGGTGTGGAAGGTGATGGAAAATATTACCGTTAGAGAGAGATTTTGTCATTAGAGCATAGTGGCTTATTTGATATTTCGATTGTTTGGGTAGCTAATTATTGAACTACCTTTCATGTCTTGTAATATCAGTAAGACATTGTCCGGAGCTCCTTGAATTTATATATTTTTCTTAATATTCTATAATGTGTTTAAGAGGCATCTTGCTGACTAGATGCGACTTTTTTTTTGTCAGTAACATTCAGTAGGATAGAACCAGAAGGAAAGTTGGTCATGGGTTGCAGAAAGGCTTCAAATATTCTTACCACAGATCAGGTTTGCCGATTTCCAAGTAGTAGCTTCTTTACTCCCACTGGGTGTACTGCTTAATTTACAAGGCTATGGGATCATCTGGAAATAGAAGTTAAGAATTCTACGCTGAGAATAATATATCTTGGCTTACAAGAAAAGCATGTCAAAATTGCTATAACAAAACCATAGGAATTGTTTCTGTGGTTTCTTTCCGATTTCAACACTTTTTTGCATCTCAATTAGTCATGGTGCTCATTAGGTATAAGCTTCTCACGTCTTTTGTGAAAAGCTGTTGAATTCAGGCTTTCTTTTTTCTTACTTGGCCTTCTATTAACAGGGAAGTGAAGCTTGCAGTAACGGTAATGGTGTTGCTACAAATGGGAATGCCAGTACTAAACATACCAAGTTCTCTGAAGAAGTTCTGGCAAATTCTACTAAAAAGGGATTTTCATCAACCACTCATGTTGCTGCAACAAGTGCCAGGGATGAAACTAAAATGTCTGATGATTTGGTGAATGAATCATTAGGAAATAATCGTCCTATTCGTTGTAAGAGGAAGGGTAGCACAATGGGTTCGAAAAGGAAACGCCTGCGGATTGATAATGACAACTTGGTAGAGCTGAAGGTCACAGTGGTGCAAGCCCAAGGGTTGATGCGTCCACCTTCGAGTGGTGCTCCAACAGTAATTGTGATAGAAGGCTGTGAATTTGAAGAATACGAGGTACCATGCTCTTTAGCAGTTTATTGTCTACCAATTCTTGCTGATTTATAGATTTATTCTTGCAGTTGCTATGTGTTATTGCTTGTAACTAGAATAGATGATCAGTTTTCTTTATTATGCATTATTTATGGTGTAGTACCATGCTCTTTAGCAGTTTATTGTCTACCAATTCTTGCTGATTTATAGATTTATTCTTGCAGTTGCTATGTGTTATTGCTTGTAACTAGAATAGATGATCAGTTTTCTTTATTATGCATTATTTATGGTGTAGTACCATGCTCTTTAGCAGTTTATTGTCTACCAATTCTTGCTGATTTATAGATTTATTCTTGCAGTTGCTATGTGTTATTGCTTATAACTAGAATAGATGATCAGTTTTCTTTATTATGCATTATGTATGGTGTACATTAGAGCACCCTTGATTTTTCAATTCAGAAGATGTGTAGCTGTCACCTTCTGCCAGAAATGTAAATCACATTTCATTAAAAGGTTCCTCCCCCCTACACTTCCCCTCCAAAAGAAGTAAATAGTGTACATACTGGAAAAGTAGGTATATCACATTAAAAATGGTGGAAGGGGCATTTTAGAGGGCACTTATTTTGACCCGCAAGGGTTGCTGAGTTGGTTGAGCAGGGAGCTCCCAAATGGGGGGTCTCAGGTTTGAAACCCCCTGCATGCTTTCTCTGTTAAACTCATCACAGGGCTTTCCTAGTGCAGTACCACACAGGCTATTACGCTGGAACCTGGTTTACCCTGTGCCCACCGAAGGGTAGCAACTGTGGGTTCCCTTGTCATAAAAAGAGGGCACTTATTGGTTTGTATCCTCACAGGGGTGATACTGACAGCTGAGAACTTGATAAAGAGGAGTTACATATGTTGGATCATGCTTTGTGTGTAAATGCTTGAGCGAAGACGTGGATCGCCTCCTGCTGCATTTCCAGGTGCAACACAATTGTTGTGGCTAGTATAATGGACAATGCCGGATCTGTGAAGGATGTACTGCATGTCTGAGCCTTTAGAAGAGGGAACAGAAGACACCATGCATGGGATATTGCATCCTTAGCCCCTTGTAGGGCCCTATGGGAGCAGAGAAATCGAGGACCTTTTGTGGGGTTGGAAAATGACTTTGTACATTTGAGGAATAACCTTTTGTTCTTAGTTTACTGTTTCTTTATCAGGTTGTTCTCAGTTAACTTTGGTACACCCATCTGGTCTTTGTTTCTATAGAAGATTGTTTGTCTTTTGTGGAGAACTATATTTCTATTGTTTGTGGTGTACTGCAAGATATGGGAATAAAAACAAAAAAGGAACAAAACGTATGCCGTATGGCACCAATTGGATGGGATCTCCAATGAGGACATGCTTCTTACTAAGCAATGAGTTCCATTTCCAAATAAAGATTCCTTTTTTTTCTTTAGTTGAAGTTGTAATTAAGGAATATTCTTCGAACTTGTTTTACTCTCTAAATTTTCTTGAGAGATTATTGTCGGCAAATTCTTTTCTCAGTGGTTGTAAATAACTCAGCAACTCTTTTGTAGCCGATATCCAAAACATGGGAATTGTGTCCAATCTTCTTTCAGGACTTGTCAGTTAGTGTTGGTAGTCCTTGTAATATTTTTTACTGATATTACTCCGTCCTATTTATCCTCGGCTTATTCCACTTTAGCAGGAAGATGCGCCAATTATTGGAAGGCCCACAATCCCTCATATGGATCAGTTAGGGTAAACTATTATACTCTTGACTATTAGCAGCTAGCTCTATGTGGTATGTGTTAAATTGCATTGAATATGAATTGCTGATGCTTTATTCATTGAATCAGTGCAAAAATACAGTGGGTACAATGTGAGGATTGTTTCAAGTGGCGAAAAGTTCCTGACAATGTTGACCTTCCATCGAGATGGACTTGTTCAGACAACTCACGCGACCCTGAGAGGTATGATGGAAATTCTTTAACCTACCTATAAGATGCACTTAAAATGTCAATAGAATACATGAAGGAACGCGCCACATGCTCTTGTTAGTGTAAGCGCTGAAGTGGATTGCATTAAGCAATCTGGACAAGCCAAAACCTCTTTAACTCCAATAATCAAGCTTGTCAGTAGAAGAAAAGGTGATTTACTGGTGAATTACTCCTCATGAAATGTGCTTCAAAAGTAGGAGTAAGGTCTGCGACATTCTACTCTCCCCAGACCTACTTGTGGGATTACACTGGATATGTGGTTGTTGTTGAAATGCGCTTCTGATATTAGATATTGAAAATCATTTTCAAAATTGTCCTGCTGACACAAATTTATCCTTTTTCTTTCCGAAGGCTAACTGAACCTTGCTATTTGGAATTGGCAATGAGATGAGGTTTTCTATGATTGGTTTCTCCCCTTTTCTTTTAGCAGTTTGTCCCTTTAATCAACTCTGTAGCATTCTTCTTCTCTCTCCAATTTCTGTTCTTTCAGAAAGTTGACTTTGAACCACCTTCATCATGGGCTCTTGGCACCTGTGCCTGCATTATATTTATATGAGTTTTTATCATTAGAAAAAAAAATAACTTCATCAGTTTCCATTTTCTACGATTCTCGTTTTCTTTAAGTTACATCTGGCTGTCTGTTGCTTTTAACATAAATATCAACTAATGTCTGTTCATTTCTCTCCTGATAAAAAAAATTAAGTTCGTTTCCAAAATAGTATTGACAATTCCTGAATGATCTTAATCATAGATTTACACAAAGTTAACAATTTCAAAAAAAGAAAGTATTGGCAATTCCTGAAATTCATTGTAGTATTCAATTGCAGTTGAGTATTTGGGTTATGATCTTTCTCCTTTTTAGGTCTATGTGCTCGGCAGTTCAAGAATTAACTGCAGATCATCTGAGGGACCTACTACCTCATATTAATAAAGGTACAAGTGCTTGCTCCTGTAGGTCATAAATTTCTACACTATTGAGCCAGTTCTTTTTGTGTTTGCCTCGTCTTGACAATGAATTGCAAGTCCTTCAGGTTTACTGAAGTTACATGATTCTTTTGCAGCTTCCAAGAAAAGGAGGGCTTCTAAACAGGAAATGGACTTGGTTGAAACTCTGGATGGGCTTGATGCACTTGCTCATCTCGCTATCCTAGAAGAGGGAGAGACCCTTCCAGCATCACCACAGGCCACAACTAAGCATCCACGTCATAGACCTGGGTGTACATGCATTGTCTGCATCCAGCCCCCTAGTGGAAAAGGTCCTAAGCATAAGCAATCATGTGATTGTAACGTCTGTAAATCAGTAAAGCGTCGTTTCAAAACATTGATGTTGAAGCGTGAAAAAAAGTTATCAGAGAAAGAAGCAGAAGCTACTTGTCAAAAGCTGCAGCCGCAATCAGCTGGGCAATTGCTTGATGCTGTTGACATTCAAGAATCTATTGATGATGCAGCGCATTTAAGCCCTCAGCATGGAGAGCTGAACAATGAAGGTTCAGTTGATCCCAATTACCTTAATGAGAAGAAATCTTCCGTTGATGATCCCAGTTACCTTAATGAGAAGAAATCTTCAGTTGATGATCCCAATTACCTTAATGAGAAGAAATCTTCCGTTGATGATCCCAGTTACCTTAATGAGAAGAAATCTTCAGTTGATGATCCCAATTACCTTAATGAGAAGAAATCTTCCGTTGATGATCCCAGTTACCTTAATGAGAAGAAATCTTCAGTTGATGATCCCAATTACCTTAATGAGAAGAAATCTTCCGTTGATGATCCCAACTCCCTGAATGAGAAGGAGTCTTCTGTTGATGATCCCAACTGCCTGAATGAGAAGAAATCTTCTGTTGATGATCCCAACTGCCTGACTGAGAAGAAATCTTCTGTTGATGATCCCAACTACGTGGATGAGAGGAAATCTTCTGTTGATGATCCCAATTACCTTACTGAGAAGAAATCTTCTGCTTCACCATTTAAAGGTGAATTTGACCTGAATGCTAAGCCAGAGAGGGACGATGAGCTTTCACCAGGCTCTGATTCTGGTAGCATGATACGCATAATCAAACGTGCTGCAGAGCAATATGTCAGGCACTGTGAGAATGGAAGTTCCGTGGGTAACCAAATAAATGGAGATGGCGCTGGGGAGACAAATCCGAGTAATTGTGTTATTGTTAGTGGTAGTCAACAAACTGATGTAGATCATAATAGGCCTTTACCCATAAGCACTGCTGCATCTTTGGCACCTAATGACCAGTAAGATGTTCCTACATGAGGCACCTAAATTAGCTGTGCTATATAAAAAACCAGAGGTACTCCGCAGTGTTAGGGAATTTGTATATGTTGGCTTTGCTGGCGTCATGCATTGTACATAGAAAAACGTAGCAAGTAGCAACTGATGTAATCTTTCCGCTATGCACAGGTTACATTTTGCAATGGCCGCGAGGTGCCTTGCATATATTTATTATAAATGGCTGGAAAGGTTTTGGAGTTCAATCTTTTTGTGTAAAATGCTTGTTTCTTTTTTATGTTTTGGTGTGTCTGAGACTCTCACAAGTTCTGGGAGAGTAAGGGGATTTGAATCTTGGAATTTGTGGCTAGTGCTAACTAGCCACAAATTCTTTTGGTTGACCTTGCCACAGAAAGAAGAGTATTGTGCTGTAGGCTTGTTAGACCTCATTTGGGATTCAAAGCTTGTAGGACTTGATTAGAACCACGGAGATAGAAAAAGACCAAAAGAAGGCGGAGAAGTATTGTCCAAGCCTTATGAGAAGCTAGAATTCTCTTCTCGAACCATATGAGACCGTCTTCATCAATATAATATTTCAAAAATAAAAGTACTCCAGTCAGTTGCCATCACCGTCTTCATCATAGTTGCATGTTCGATCCCTATAATACACTACAAGCACAAAATTAGTAGGTAAACCAATTGAGCTTACAACTTGTGTGTCTAATCATGTGATTTTACCTCAAAATATAATTATGACAAGTGAGGATAAACACATCAAATTCTTTCTTTCTATTTTATAGATATAGAAAAGAACATGAAATTCTATTTTCTTACATATATATATGTGTGTGATGTAACGTGAGATTGGCTTTATATCCATATTCTTTTTAGCTGTGCCGGAAAATTTGACTCAAAGGATTTTAGAGAATATGCAAGTTGGAAAATCTAAGGTTAATCCAAATCCACCGACAATTCCATTTTGTGAACTCCCAAACAAATATGTTAGTTGTAAGTTGTCATCCGTTTTGGTCCCCCTTCTCTTGTCACTGAAATATATGTGACCCCATATCCCTCTGAAAAATAAAAAACCAAATAAAGAAAGAAAAAATTGAAGATGCATTACCGATGTCTAGTACCCATATTGAAGCCTGACTAAATTAAATTTGTCGAAAAGTCTCATTGGAGGATAAAGTCCTCTCTAACAAAGGTGACTCTGTACCCGAAGAGACTTAAATCCAAGATCTATTAGCTTCATTTTCATGTATTGATGGTATAAAATTACTTATACAAATATATTTTTTTGGTAAAAAGTAAATTGGTAATTTGATTAAAAAAATACCCTACTTATTGTCATAAAATTAAATTGTATACCATTATGGCCTTCATATGGAGCTTTCATTTTCGTGGTGTTATTTTATACCAGTAATCAAATCATGAAGTTTAAAAATATCTTCTATATACTAATAAATACACCATTCATAACAACTGTAACTGCTATATTTTCATTTTTTTATTCATTTAATAAACTATAAGAAATAAAAGAACAATTCACTGTTTTTAAAGCTTTCCTATACTTTCTATACAATAAAACCTTTCCTATACTTCCTATTTTTACTATAAAAATCAAACAAAAAAAACAAGTCACTCAAAAGCCTAAAAGCTAAATACAAATTGCAAATTCATTTTCTTTTTTTCCAGCCAACCTTTTTTTTTTAAAAAGGAAAAAAATTCTTTTTTTAAAAAGTAAAATTAGTATAACTAAGTAATTTAGACTCCACGGTTAATCATCTCCATGTACTGCTGCATAGACTGTTGCCTCTGTAATCTCATATCTTCATTGAACTTTTTAATAAACGCCTCCACTTTCCGATTCAACTCGTCGGAGCTCAGCGACGGATCCTTCCGGATCTTCACAGCCGCCGGCGACGGTGAATACGACGGCGAGACATAGTTTGTTCGGTCCTTGAAAGTCTCCGACTTAAGCACGTGCCTCTGGTGGTGGTGCTGCGGTGGAAAGGTGGTGGAATTCTCGTTTTCCTCCGGAGCGTCGTCGTCCACGGCAGCCACGTGAATGTGAAAGGTGTCTGATTTCTTCATATGCCTCGTGAGTGGCACGTGACGGCCCTCTGTTATCATTTTCCATGTGTTCTCTAATGTCTCTGGCTTTTTCGACCGCGACACTTTCAGTGACTTCACTCCTGAAATTATCCATTATTGTAACATATTTAGCTTCAAAAATTTTACCGATTGAAATAAGATGAAATGCGTGATGAATGCCTCCGTTTCGAACTGAATTTTAACTGTGCAAAATAAATTGAGACGGAGAAAGTAGTAACAATGTGTGTACTTTTCACGTACCTTCCGGACTCATTTTCACAGCAGGTTTTCGGTTACCGAATCTGGAAGAAACCAGAGGTTTTTCCGTCGCCGGTACTAGAAGAAACTCATTTTTAGTTTCAATTTCCGGCAACGGAGAGACAACAGATTTCGAAATCACTATCGCTTCGCTTGCATCAGGCTCATCGATCACGTCTTCATCTTCATGATTCATAACCACGACGGAGCCGTTCACCAGTACTGGCTTAACCTCAAACACCTGCGGTTCGTCCACCGGTACAGGCACGGCCTCAAACACCTTCACTTCACTTTGGACTGAATGAAGCTCCGATTGAGTAATCGCTATCAAATCTGACTGCGGAGGTGTTCTAGCGGTAATCAACGGCTGAAATTGATCGTCGGAGCTGGACTCCTTATGGTTCGACGAGCGAGAAGTGGCGACGATGATGAGGATTATACCATTGATAACAAAGTAGAGATACGGAGGCTTAAGCCAAGCTATAACTACACTCCAAATTGCTGGGAGCTCATAATAAATTAATGGAATCGACGCTTTTGCTACCATCGCTAAGGAAATTGCACCAATTGATATTAGCGCAACCTTAATCGATAGAATTAAACTGTTCGCCATTTTCTTCGATAACCTTATCTTAATTTTTTGCTTTTCCGGTGAGTTTTCCGGTGAGTGAAGAAGCAGGTGAAGTGGATTGGTTATGGAAAAGTGCGTTGGGGATTGAGGAGTATAAATAGTGTGGGAGGGATCCGGGGTAAGGGACGCGGTTTGTAGTCTGTGATGCAATCTGGACCGTTGATTCTGTGCTGAGCTGGTACAAGAGTTGCCACTTGTGAAGGATGAGGGCTGGCCCACGTGTTGGCTGATTTACAGGTACTTAGTAATCGTTCTGTTACTTAATGATATTAATGTCCCAGAAAATTATTGTTTAAATCTTTTTGGTAAACAAAACAGTCAATTTTTGTAAAGAAAATGAGTTTTCAGATATCTTTAGGTTGAGTTCAAACTGATAATGATGTTTGAAAATTGAACTATTACTAATTAATCAAAAGAATATCAAATTACTATAAAAGAGACTTTGAGTAACAAAAAAAATTATTTTCGTGTGAGGTAGGTGACGAGTTTGAACTGTGAAAATAACTATTAATGCATGTATTAGAGTAAATTGCACACCTATTAGGTCGGCCTTTTCTTAAACCTCAATTATTGATTTTTTAGTGAGAAAGAAAATAGAAAAATTGGTGTACTTGAGTCTTTTCAAGGTCAAAAATCAACTTTAGAATTGTTTCGTGTGAAAACAATAAATAAGCCAGCCACATTTTTAAAACACTCCAACATAAATGGATTTTTAAAGGAACCAAATTATTGCACCCCAAATGTTGGACTAATTTCATCTTTCTTTTCAATTATTTTTCTCCTAGATGAGATTTTCTTTCGTCAAGTTCAAATAAAGCTCATAAGGCTACAAGTCGTATATATTAGATTTTTTTCCAAACAAATAATAATTAATTTACTAACAAAGAGTTAGCTGACCAATTGTCACTATGCTATTATACTTGGACTCCTGCAATTTGAGTTTTGATTTGCTCAACTTCAAATAATTTCTATCAATTTTTTTCATTTTTGTTAAATGAATACTATGATACGCGACTTTGAATTAGTCTTGATAATTCAGAAAATAAAAAGAAAAGTAATTTATTCCACGAATGTTGTGTGGTGTAGCAGTGAATTGTATGCAAGTGTAACTCAGATGTGGCAGAAAATCTTTCTAGTAGAAATATAAAGTTGCTGCAAAAGTCAGGTAAATTTAGTTGAGGGTATTATTCTTTGAGGTGTCAACAACATTTTGAATAAATAGGAAAAAATAGTGACAGCCACACACAGACACACTTTATAACGGTCTATTTAAGTACCGTTAGTAGCGGAACTTTTGTAGCGTGATTTCTAAGCCCGGCCCTATGGCTGCGCTGTTGGCTACATTCTCTCAATGTATCCACTATCCACCAACCATTCCAATATTAGTGTCGGGAGATGAAGTCAGAATCTAAAATTTATGAGTTCGAAGTTTCAATTTTACCAGTTATTAGGTTTTAAATTGAAATTTTGTACATATTTAATAGATATTTTAAGATAAATATAAAGTTTGAATCAAAGCTAGCTACTGAATTCAGTTGAACCACACTATAGCTCCATCCATACATATATCCTTTGGTCGTGAGCCCCACCTAGAGGGAGACGTAACATTAAATCTACCTCGCCTATGAGAGGTTTGAAATTTTAGAGCAAAAATTATTGAGTTGAATCTGAACTTCTAGCTCTGTCCCTGCTATTCACAAACACAACTAGAATTGTGAACCCGATAAATGGGGTACACCCTCTTAGCCGACCAATTTACCTTTTTGCTAAGATTGCTACTTTTCTTCAATCACCAAATCTCCTCAATTTGGGATTGGAATGGAGTGACGATTGCCTTATCCTAAACTTCCATGGAGGGTTTAGTAGGAAGCAGATTCATATTTTTGAATTATAAGTGAATATGAAATATCATTATTTTATTATAATTTTTTTAAAAATGTAAAAGCATGTTAATTGTTTTATTTAGGGAATGTAATTAATCGTGGTTCGTCAGCCTTTAATTAATTTACCTATAGTTAAATTAAAATCTAATTGCTAAATTATCCCTTCATTAAATTTTGAATAATTATTCATGTGCCCTACACCAAGTGTGGGATTGTCAAAAAGGGAAGGGAAATAACATAAAATATACAACTTAGCCCTCTAAAGAGTGAAAGTGACCTTTTTGGTCCTACAAAGATTAAGTGCTTAATTACTTTGTTCTTTATTCTATTTTTAAGGCGGCAAGAATTTTCTTTGGGTCCAGTTGAGAATTGATTAACAAATATTTTCTTTCTTTATCTAACACTGGAGTTTTTTTTTTTTTTTTTCATTAGTCTATTTCAAAGAAAATAACAATTTTTACCTTTTCTTAATGAGATATATATTTTTATAGCCACACAATATATATTAAGTTAAAAGATATTTATAATTACAAGTTCTCAAAATTATATAGTCACACAAATATATATCATGTATATTTAAATTACTTGATATTAGTATAATTTTTGTTTTTATATATAAGAATATAGAATCTCTCCCTATAATGTTATTTTATGACTATCTAACATCACATAAGTGATGAGATAGAAATTAAAAGTGCACATCTATTATAAGTTAAATAGGGATTATTAATTAGGTGTTGATTTAGACTATGAACCAGTCAATATATAATCAATTCCTCAAGGAATCTTATTAATTATCATATGTTTGATTTTCTGAATTATTAGTAGGTATAGAGTCTCTAATCAAGATATAGTTTACCAAATTTATGCTCAAGATTAATTATCCCTTGCCAGTACTGATTACGTACTCTACGTCTATGACTCTATGTCAAAGGTTAAAATAGAGCAGACTCCACCTAATCGATAAATCTTATACGGAAAAGAGGTCAAAAATATTTGTAATATATTATAAATGGTTTTATAATATTCTTTATCTATTTATTGTTTTAATTTTATTTCTTCTTTTACTTGTTGGATAAAAATATTTTTTATGTATTAGGAATGACCTAAAATACTTTTATTTTATCTATTGGATCAAATTTATGTCTTATGTAATTTTCACACATAAAATTAATTAAAATAGGGTTTGTGCTGAGTTGGATCATGAATGGATTTGAATTCAACACATGAATTATAAGGGGGGAAAAAAATCATGCACATTCGATATCTGCACGAAGCAAATAAAGATATACATAATGCGTGTCTTCTTAAACTTTAGTCACTTAATTAACGATGTTAATAAATCCCAAACTGTAAATCATTTATGAAAATTCCTCAATAATATGTAGGTTTACTTTAATTTGCAATTGTTATGTATTGCTTTATTTGACGTAAATATTAAGTGTAAGTATTATTTGAAAAAAGGTGCATATATATGAGAAAAACATTTATTATATTAACTATTTTAAGCTCCAGTTTTAGTTACTTTCTTCACCGACGCTCGTCAAATATATCAGTCATCCTCATACTGCTCCCTTTTAGTTTTGGTCAAGTTACGGGTATGATTGATGACGATAGAAGGAAAAATACGAAAGAAGTAAAGTAGGAAGTTTCATTTATTATTTGTCTGAGGAAGAAAATCCACCTTATTAATAGGCACCGTCCATTTAATCAGGAACTGCCACCTCGTCACATAATATTTTTTTATCATAAAAATAAAAAATAAAAAATAAAATTAGGAGCCATGGAAATAAAAATCAAAAGGGAATTATAAAATCGAAAATCAAACTCTAGCCAACCAATTGAGTTATATGTACCAAGAAAAGAAAATATACATTTCGTAGGAGATAGAAATATATTTCCTAATAGACTTAATTAGGATTTTGCTAATGTCCCACAAGTTTCGAATGCAATTATAGTAATGGAGAAATAAATAAATGCATGAACCTAAAACTGAAGTTGATTGACATGATAATTCAGATAATTTTCCCTCTACTTTAATCTACAGTTTTTTTCAACAATTTTTATTTTTTTGAAAAAAAGAAATGCAGATAAAAGGTATTTTGAAAACCTACTGTGATATTTTTGTTACATAGTAATTTTAATTAATATTGGGTCCCTGAAGATAGTGACTAGTAAATATAAAGCATATTAAAATTAGGTGGGGCATAATATTGCATTATGTATAATATCTTGTTACTTATTTTACAAGAGCTTATTTATTGAGTTCCTTTGACAATATGAGAAGTATGTCCCATCCATCGTCAAATAATTAAATTAGTATCTTTACGTGATTTTAAAACAGTTCTTCAAAATTGAATTCACTTTAAACTACTTGTCAATTTGATAATTTAAATTTCTTTGAAATGATGTACTTTATTTATTTATTTAGTTATTCAATATAAACGTAGTTTGCCTTTACACACTTTCATCATTTCTTTTACTATTCAAACAGTAAAAAAATATTTTCTTTGTTATTATTATTATAAATGACAATTAGATTTGAACTTCAGATCTTTATAACTATCTCAACTACAACTTGTATAATCATTTATTTCTAAAACAAAAAAGAGGGACTTACGTCATTTCTTTTACTGGCCAAACACGTAAAATTTATTTTCTTTATTATTATTATTGTGAATGATAGTTAAATTTGAACTTCAGATATTTATAACTATCTCAACTATAACTTGTATAATTATTTATTTCCAAAACAAAAAAAAGGGAGAGGTAGAGAAAAGTTACGTTGATGAGGGGAAGTGTAGGAAGGAGACAAAGTAGGAGTCTAATTATACATTTTATTTTACAGTTGGGAAGCACCAAATTTATTGTAGACTTTTACGTGTTAATGGATAATGAATATACTATACTATATACTTTTTACTCCCAATTTCACAACTAACATAACGACCACCTAGCTCCTATCCTTTTGGATTTGCCCATTTGTCAATCAGTAAATATTTAATCTATTAACTACATTAGACTAAGTGATAGACAAAACGTGTAGTAAAGTCAGGTGAATCGATCGGGTTCGATTTTATATATTATTGACTTGATTTATTAATTTTTTATTTTTAAATATGTCAAATCAATAAGATATTTTTATCGATTTTTGGTCCTTAACGGTTCAGCTTTTGATTTAACCAATAAAAAAATGTTC